GCTTCGGACAACATTTTCGCTAAGGAAAAAGTTGTTTCAAATCACCTTCCGAACCACCTCTTTCAATGTGTTTTTGGGACACTCTATACATTGTTTCCTATAGCTACAGCACTGCGCGCTGAGTTTTTTTTACGCGCATGCTCGACTGGGAGCCAAATATGACATTATAGTGTCTACCTTCTCCCTATTACATTGTATTACGTTAATCAGTAGTAAAACAAACCTCTGTGTTAAATTAATTCTACAAATTTATTCTGTACGTGCAAACGTTAAATAAAAAAAACGTAGAAAATGGATAATGAAAACCAAAAGTTTGTGTATCTCGTGTTTTCCTTAACTTGAGTACTTTCGAGGATATCCAAGTGGAGGTTGATGTAATGTAAATTGAAAAAAATTTATTTGAATGGCCATGATTCCCCCGGATCCAAAATATATTTTTCGCGGCGATATGGGTTGCGTTCATTGCATTCTTTTTCAAGTTGCTCACGGTGTAGAACAGCTTTTCGTGGGTACTGCCACAGGCAATGTTCACATTTGGAATTTAAAAGTAAATAAAACTGTATGACGTTTCTTATAAATAAGTGTCATTTATGTTTACTTTTTAAATTGATTAGATCTTTTGTAATTTTGGGCGAGACATCTATAAAGGCAAATTATATAGGTATAACATAGACATAGGTATAAAAAATAGCTCTATGTTGCTTGATTTAAGATGTACAATCGAAGAATTCATTTATTTTTATTCTCACAAATAAATCTGGAATTTTTATTCTTTGTTTAGTACAAAATTTGTCTGAATCTAATCTAATTAAATTTACATTAAAATGGTAGTTAAAAAATTGGTATGCTCTCTTACTGATAGTTCACTACAAACATCAATAATACTGTCACATCAGTAATATTTACTTAGCAGATTGTGTTCTAAATATGGTACTATCAATCTTTTAACCAGTTACTTGGAACTAATTACAGATAAATCTCTGTCTGTAAATAAATTCCATTCCAAGATATTTGTCATATGTTTTGATTCATTACGTTTATTACACATTTCTAATCTTATAAAATTATCAATTGGTTTATTTTAAACAGTGCATAGACCAAGCAGGTCTAGAACACTTTTTTCTATAATATTTGTTTTACCACTTACAAAACATTGTAGCTTGATGATTTTGTTACTATTCTTTGCAGACATATTTACATACTCTTTTTCTTTTTTATATGATATATATTGTTATCCCTGCTAGGAATGCCAGTAGTCAAGGCCTTATTAAAAGTCCAATAGTCCTGTAGGAAGCTCAAGTACTTCTGATTCACCAAACCTATACTGTACCTATTTTCTTCAAAAATCTTATTATAGCATGTTAAAAGGTCGTAAACACCTCTTTTACTTTTGCAACTACTTCTGTACTTGCAATTAGCAGAATCAAAACAAAACGTAACAATATTGATCTTTGTACTAAAAATATTACTTAGTATATAAAAAAGAATTTTTTTTTAATATATTAAGGATTTTTAAAAAGTAAACAACTTCTTTGAAAAGCCTTACTAAAACTTATTACCATTTAAGTATTATTAGTGAATTTACAAAATTGTAAATTGACGATATGAACTTTTACTAACATAAAGTAATTATTTTTTGTGTTAAAGACAAATCGAGAATTATGTCAGATTAGATCAGGACAGGATTCTTGTTTAAATTTGCTAAGTTTAAGGAATGAGAATTTGTTTGTACAACATAAGTGTGGCTTAATAAAGACATATAAGAAAACAGAATCTGAGTGGAGCTTGTACAAATCTATCGATATAGACTTTTATCACTATTGCAGGTATTTTTACCTATATCTACGTATAGAGATGATTTATTTTGTACATATGTAATAGAACATTTTACAAGGAAAGAATTAACATATACTATTCAGAATTACAAATCATACAAGTGGAATACGATTCATCTTATTGTTTCTTTTTAATTTGAATAATACATTTAAAATGTCCATGGCAGGTTTCAAGAATTTTCTGAAAATGAAATATTTGTACCACTTAAGGAATCCAATGTTGGAATATTGTCGTCGAGTACATTTAATGTAGAACTAAAATTAAATCCTTCAAATTTTAAAAAATTAGGAGAGGTAATGTTCATTAAGCCATTGAAAAATGAAAAATTAGTGTTAGTTGGCTATGAAGGAGGCAAGTTAATTCTATGGGATGTAAGACAAAAGAGTGTATTGAGTTTCTTGGCAATTCAAACATGTCCAATGGCTTTGGATTTTGATACTGTCTTAATGAAGGGAATTATTGGTAGCCCTTCTGATCAGTTACAGGTAAAATATTTGTTAAAATAATGGGAAAACCTAGGAAGTGAGATAACGATTGGAAAAATATTTAGTTTTAATAAAATATAAATGTTAATAATTTATACTGGCATGATTTGGTTGTTTTAAAATAAATATCTGTTAACATAATGCTCATTTTAATTAATAGGTATTCACTTTATCAGAAAGTCAGGTACTGCGTAATAAAACTAAAATTACATTGAAAAATTCTGGTACATCTGTGATTGTTATAAGACCTGATAGCAAGATTGTAGCAGTTGGAGGATGGGACAGCAGAGTCAGAATATATTCATGGAAAAGTCTAAAACCTCTGGCTGTTTTAGATCAGCACAGAGACACAGTACACGACATTGCTTATTCTTTAATGAGGTTAGACACACGTAATGATAAATATGTGATGGCCACAGCTGCAAAAGATGGATATATTGCATTGTGGGATATTTACAATTAAACGTTGTTGTAAAATTACTAAAAGAAAAATGATTGAGTAAATTTATATAAATAAACAAAAATTCAATCCTGACATCGGCAATGTTACTTTGAAATTTTACACTAAAAAAGTACAAGAAAAAATAACAATAGCACTAATTATCCTTAAACAATTTGTTAAATGGAACGCTAATAACTGTATCCACACACAGCATCACCAACAGCTGTAAAAATAAAAATATTTTTGGATTTTTTAATTTAATTTATTAATCGGTACCTGTCTATGTACAAGCCTGCACCTGCTAAACAATCCTTTCTATGATACAAGACAGACGTCCATTCACGAATAGAACAGCATCTCATCATCAAACTCGCTACATACATTGTAATCAAATTTTTTAATCACAACCGATTAAAAAAAAGGAGGCAAATCAAAAGGAAAACATTAAATTACTATTTACAAAAACAATTTATCAATTATCGATAGATTAATTACCAATCAATTAATTTCATATTGTATAAAACTGAAAGGTATATGATTGAGTTTTACATTTAAAAACTAACTGTATTCATAATTGAATTATTTATATTCTAATTTACTAATAATTGTTTTTCAATTAATTAATTTTTTGTCAATGCACTAGAGATAATCTACAAATTAGATCATTGTCAATTCATTGTTAAATTATTTACAAAAAATGAATTGCTGACTAAAAATTGATTAAATGGTTGAAAGTATGTTCTTTTTGTCAGTCGAACGATTCGATAATCAAACGATAACACTGTCCAACACGATTTTTTTTCCGCAATATCCACTAGGTGATTTTTATAGGATTCCTCGTCCTAAATACGGTCGATTTTGAGAGAAAACGTAGTACTACTTAAAAACTACGAACGCTAGAAAGTTCTATTTAGTCTTAAAAGATAGAGGAGTGTTTTCTGAATAGAAAGACATATTCCTTTAGAATTATCTGCTCCTTTGAATGCCTGTAAATGAACACCGAAGTTCAAAATGTTGCCGATGCGAGTACTTTTCACGAAATACTTTTGTATTTTTATAAAAAGTTATTCGTCTAGGTCGAATTTACTATGCATTATAGGTATCTGCAAACATTTCTGAAGAGAAAACCACCCGCGGCAAATGTTGGAACGGTTTCTAATCCATACGGTTTGACAAAACGTTAACTCGGAACCCATGAACGGTGTTTTGCCGCTGCACAGCCATTACTCGCTATGTTTCGGTCAATCGGGGCGGTCGCTACGGGATTCGTCTAATCGGTGCCACACGCTATCAGTTTTTGTATTAGATTTACATGTTCCAGATAAGTAATTCTTCATTTCTAATATTTCATTTATACTGGAACTCAACAAAACGGAGACAATTTTCCACTGTTTAAAATTTAATCATTAATTTCCTGTTTTTGTATCTTCAATTATTCGACTTTTGTTAAATTGATATTGAGCAAACTTTATTTAAATCTAAATTGAATTATTTAACAATTAATTAAATCTATAATTGTATATTTTGTTGTTAATTTTTAATGAAAACTGCTACCTAACAAATTTCTCTTTAGAACAGAGGTTATCCCCCAAGCACTAACTTAAATAAAAAAATATTATCAAAAAGTAGAAACATTAAGCTTTAAAATGGGTTTCTATTCGTCAATGTGGGGCGAATTTTAACAAAGGTACGAGAATTTGATGGTTATTATTCAAGCGCGTGGCGACGATTGTGTAGAACGCATGACGACGGCCCTGATTCACCTATATAAAGCGAGCGAAGCCTGCGCGCCGGCAAACAGAATTCGTGCGTTCTAAATTAATATTTTCTGGATCTGTACGAACTAGAAAACGTTCCAACATTTGCCGCGGGTGGTTTTCTCTTCAAAAATGTTTGCAGATACCTATAATGCATAATAAATTCGACCTAGACGAATAACTTTTCATAAAAATACAAAAGTATTTCGTGAAAAGTACTCGCATCGGCAACTTTTTGAACTTCGGTGTTCATTTACAGGCATTCAAAAGAAATATTCAGAAAACACTCCTCTATCTATGAAGACTAAATAGAACTTTTTAGCGTTCGTACTTCTCAAGTAGTACTTCGTTTTCTTTCAAAATCGACCGTATTTACAAAATCGCGAATTTTTCAAAAAAGGGTGATGGAGCAATTTCACTTTCAAATTCGTATTTAGGACGAGGAACCCTATAAGAATCACCTAGTGGATATCGCGGAATTTAAAAAAAGTTTAAATTTGTTGGACAGTATAATTAATTAATTACTTGTACTAACTGTAGGGTCTCTTGTAAGAGATCGACAGTAGTCACTCAATTAAATAATTCATCTAAAGCATAGTAACTAAATAATTTGCGATCTCCTAATGTAAATAAAACAGAATTGTTTAACTTAAAGCACCTTACATGTTCTACCTCTAAAAATTGTGCTTCGACTTACAACATTCGATGCGACCTTTTTCAATAATTTTAATATTTGACGAACATATTTTCTCTTGATCAATTTGTATTACTTTGATTATAAATTAATTTATACTAATTATGGTTGACTGTATGGTCCGATCCCATTTATTTGCTTTTTCGTGCATTATTAATGTTGCATTCTTTTTTGGTAAGCTTTTTTCATTATTTGTGGATACTTTATCCTTCATTATTTGTGGTATATTAATGTAATATTGACCAAATTATTCCATGCTAAATGATTAATCCTTGGACTTTCTTAACAATGACCTCTAACGTAAAATAATGTATAATAACAATAACATTAAACATTTTCGCGTAAAAGAGGTCACTTGCATTCTGTGATAACAAAATATGTCACTAGTATCCATAAAAATTGCGCTGAATAAATTGTAGCATTTCATAATTACATGACTGCAGCATTCTACGTGATTGTAAGTATCAATTACTATTATAATATTCTCTATACAATGTAAATTAATTTACATAATACATTTTTCTAACTCCCACTTTGTGTGTGTACATATATATATAAACAAACAACTTCAAATTATTTATTCTTGTGTTCCTGGATTGATCATCAATGATCGATGAGTGCTAAAAACGATGATTAACAAGTGTTTTATCTGCTTTTCTCTATGCAATTCTACTAAATGTTTCCATTTCTTTATTTTCAAATATAAATTAATTATTTGCAATAAATCATTTTAAAAATGAACTACTTAATGTAAAATAGCTGCATTTCAAAAATGAAATTAACGAAGGGGGTTTTAGTCTTTTTACAATTGCAGATCGTCGAAGCGTTGAGAAATTGTTAGTTTAAAAAATTGTACACTTATATTTGTGTATTTAAACATAATACTGGAAATATTGTTATTTCACTTAATATTGAACTACTTTCATGCCGCAAAAAAATATCTATAATGTTTTTAAAGCAAATGCAGATATGTAATATATATTTAATTATAACTCCATATTTAATTAAAAATAATACTTAAAACATTCTCTAGCAATTCAGCATATAGTAAAATGATTTAATAATAAAGGCTTAAAAAAATGAGTAATATCATAGGAATGTTCAACCACTAGTATGTGTGCTAGTTTATGTACTGATATTTTCGAATAGGAAGTATAAACGGTCTGTAAAATAAGAACACATTCACTTTTTAAAAAATGTTAAAAACAGATTTCAAAAATATTGTGATATAAGTAAATACACAGTAAAGTGTAATAGCAATTCCATACTTTGCATCTTATGCATTTTGTATAATACGACGGTTCGTTGTACTTTTCTTGGTTTGCTAATAATGTCAATTTTTGATCATTTTTGGTACAGCAAAAATGTACAATTAAAAAATAATAATTTGCACTTTATCCTGAAGAATTGTAAAATAGTCTAACAGAGATAGTTATATATACCACTTTCTCATCACTCCGACAATCTTTCGTTACCACCTCTTAGAATCCCATCAATCCTGATCGCCATAGTAATTTACTTAGTGCGCAACAAACAGTGATCTCAGAGTAATCCACCCTTTCGTCCAAACAAAAGCGAACTAATAGTTCCTAAAGCAGACTGTGCAGGTGATTCTTTTGTAACCGTGACAGGTATCGCAGGTGTAACCTGTCCCAGGTCAGGTCTTGTAGCTCTAGCACCAGTTCTTCTGTGTCTATTTGACTCCCTGGTTAGCATGGATTCATCTTGCTTCTTTTCATCGAATTTCCGTTTTGTTGACGAGGAATCGCTTGTAGTGGAAGAAGGTGAAAGTTTATCCTGACTTCCACTCGACGACATGGAGCCTTTTAGGAAAGTTAACTGAGCCATGGGACTTTCGATAGCACGCCTGGTATACAAAGAACCTTGAAGTGTTAGCGGAGAAATCGATGAACCGGTTGTTGTAGCCATTATAGTATCGATGCCAATTCGTTCAAGCTTTTCAACTAAACGGATACTAGTAAGAGCTTTCTTGTCGGATCTGGAGAGTACAGTTCGCTTCCTCTTCACCTATTCAGAAATATAATATAATGAGACTTAACGAAATCTATAGAAATCTTCGTCTGTTGATGAGTACACCATTTTGCTTTACACGTAACTAATTCATTTTTATCGCGAGCTTTTCATTCCACACAAGAATAATAGATGCATGAGAAAATACTAGCATTTAAATGTTGCCGGATTATTCCCTTGAGAAAAATTGTTTCCAATATAATTTTCAATCTACAATGCATGGACGTTGTTTTACGTACTTCTGTATCTCCGCCAAACGTTCTCTTCAACAATTCTGCCCCAGTAGACAATAATCCCATAGAAAGTCCACTCTCCGAAGTTGGTGAACTAGATCGACTTTCTGGAGGACTAGCATCTGGACTATTGCAAGGGGTGGCAGTAGGTGTATAATTCCTCTCTCCACTTGGAGTTCCAACGCAGGAAGGCGTGACGGCTTTTATACCTATTTTTATATAACATTTATATATATCTTTTGGTGAAAAAAATAATAGGTTTCGAGACCAATTAATAAATACCTCTTTCATTTAGCATCTTCGCAAGCCCAAGCGTTGTCGAAAATGTTGAAGTCGAATTTCTCCTGCTCAAAGTTCTTGGAGTACTCATTCCTGAATTTAAAGCACTGCTAGGTGCAGTTGCAACTCTACTGCCCACAAGACTTGAAGTTACATTTGTGTGATCATCAGGATGCAGAACAGTACTATTGGTGAAAGTATATATGGAGCCCGTGTCTTGAAAGAGTTTTCCAGGATTGGTATATTCTTCGTCTTCTTCGAGATCGCTTAAAGTAAAAGTGACTAGGCCTAAATCTTCCAGCCCACGGCCTCCTCGTGTTTTTACTCCTGGCCGTTCCTCCAAAAGACCACCTAAAATATAAAGTAGTAAAATAAGTAAGTACTTGTTTTGAACTTACGAAAATCACATACATGCAAAATATATTGTTACTCGAAATTAAAACTGTTTAACATATTTATAGTTAGATCTTTGATGTATACACCCAGATAGCACAGGGACGTCTTATATACGTCCATAAGACGTACTGGACGTTCGGGACGTCCAGATAACGTCCAAACGTCCTGTGAACGTCCCTGGGACGTCCGGCGTGGACATTCCCAGAACGTTCTCTGTACGTCCCTGGGACGTTCGGTGTGGACATTTCCAAAACATTTTCCGAACGATCGAAATGAACGTTAAAATGAAATTTATCTTTATAAGATGTGTGTATTGAATATTTGGACAATGTTGAATACATTTTGAAAATTGAGATTTAAAAAAAAATTAAATTTTAATTTTATATATTTTCTGTTATTTGTTGGTAGACTTTAGTTAACTGTATTTATTTCTTGTAACTGGATTCCATGAAAACGACGAACAATCCTTCAATTTTTATTTACCTCCGGCGGGATTCGAACTCACGATTTTCGAACTACAACGCAACCTGCTTCCTCACTTACCCATAAATGCCTTTGCTAACCCGACTCATATTTTAGGCTTATACAGTGACTCGCATTAATATTCGAACACTTTTTAAATGACAATTCCTTCTTCTGAAATTGGTCTAAATGACTTGAACTTTTTTTTGGAAAGTTAGAAGAATTAATTTACTAGGTAATTCTGAGTAGTTCTAAATATACATACATATCACATCTCATATGTACAAAAAATATTGTATTCCTAATATTGAATAAATATTTTGTTTTACATGTTCAAACATATATTCTATTGCGAATATTAAATAATGACTGTATACCCAGTTAGCACAGGAACAGGAGCGTCTTATGTACGTCCATGGAACGTCCGGTGCTGGACATTCCCAGAACGTTTTCTGTACGTCCATGGGATGTCTGGTGCTGGACATTCCCAGAACGTTGTCTGTACGTCCATGGGACGTCCGGTACTGGACATTTCCAGAACGTTTTCTGTACGTTCTCTGTACGTCCATGGGACGTCCGGTGCTATCTGGGATAATAATATTAATTAATTAATTAATTAATTAATATTAATTTACAATTGTAAATAGTGTATTTTATATTCGGAAAAATATTCTGTTCTACATATTGAATAAATATTATATTATAAATAATATTAATAAATAATATTTATTTTGTTTAAAAAAAAGTATTTTTCCCTAAATCTAGAAAGTTCAGAGCGGACATCCCTGGGACGTACAAAATTTAGGTCTCATGGACGTTCGTAGGACGTTCCGGGCGGACGTCCTTGGGACGTACAAAATTTAAGTCCCATGGACGTTCGTAGGACGTTCCGACAACGGACGTCGGACGTTTAGACGTAAACTGGACATAAAATGGACGTCCATGGAACGTCCGGTGCTATCTGGGCAGGTTCCATTGATAACATTTAAAGGTTGTAAATGAATGTATTAGAATTTTATAAAATATTTATTTGCATTATTTGAAGCAAATAACGGGTTCAGTGTTGGCATACAAAATTCGCGAAACATTACCTAATGTCGGTGTTGCTAGTTGCGTCCAATGATGTAAAGTTTGCGAGCCTTCAATAGGCTTCACAATTTGCAATTTCTCAGGAAGTCTCCAAGCATTTCCGCCATAACCACTTAAATTTCCAGAACTTCCAGTAGACATGATACTATCTGGAGTTCTACAACCGAGAGGCACAAAAGTCGAAGGTGAATGAGGTCCAGCATCGTAATCGTAACTGTATCCTGTACCAGTGCTAAGACAAGCACGCCTTGCAAGGACTTCTGCTGGTGTTAGTCTGCGAAGAGCCGCTTCGAGGTCCGCTGCTCCGGGAGCACCTGGTACTCCCGTCTGTTGTGGACCCCTAAAAGTTCATATGAATCCATTTAATTTAATTTTGTCTCCTCGCGATCAACTTCTATTTTATTTAATACAACAAATAAAACTCACGGATAATCCTCAGAATCTGTGATAAGAGAACCTTCCGAATCGCTGTGTCCACCAGAATCCAGACTAGGAAACGTTGATGTCACGGGTCGAAATTGTCCGCAGCTCATACGCGGTCCGTTAGAGCCACTCGATAAAGTTGATGTAGTCATCGAACCTATTCTTGGGAACTGGTTACTATCAATCATCCCATAAGAATTTCTTGAAGCGCTTCGAACCGTTTCGAAAACTTTCTTGTAAGTAGGTCTGTGTGATATTAAAAAAGCAAATTAGAATAGCATCGAAATTAGTAATAATAAATAACAAACGTTAATGCTCTTATTCCCCTATCAATTCTATCGTACTCATGACAACGCTATATCTCGCGATCAGATATCGTTTGTTTAACATTTTCAACTAAATATTTAAAAATTTTACGTTATTAGTAAAACAGTGTAATCGCAACATTTTCCAATATCTTGTGTATTTATGTATCATTAGTATAAATTATATATATGTTCTATTTATGTTTCATTTTCTATATGCGATAGGAGAATGTAACTTACATTCTATCAGCGCTAATACCAGAATCTAAACTGAGTTCAGAATAGAGAGAAGATTCAAGTTCTGAAGCAATAGAATCTGGTTGAGGGACAACACCCATCGAGGGAAACAGAGATCCTCCTCTGACTGTTGGCATTCCTTTTTTTCTTTGTTTTCGTAATTGTTCTTGAGTATCCGCTAATAAATTCACCACCTTGTAACATAAATAATCATAATAGTCATAATAGTCATTTATTCTGTATTACGTGAAACATTTGACTCAACGCTTATCATATCTAATAAAATGGTAATTTGTTTTAATTTGAGAACACACCTCTGCGTATCTATCCTTAAATTCGGCTAGTTCACTTGCAAGAGTATTTTGATTATCTCGAGTGATATGCAAAGTAGCTCCAACTTCATCGTGTTCGGCCATCAACCGTGCCAATCTCAACTCCGTTTCAGCTAATTTTGCTGTCAAACTGATGATCTGTTCATGTTGCAGTCGATTTTCTTCTTTTTGCCTATCAAGTTCGTCTGCAATCCCGTCCACCTCCATATTTGCACTTGCTATATAAAAAATTTCTTTGAATTTCTAACTCGAGTATCCATTACTATTAAATGAAACTTATTATTTAATACATTGTCAATTTGCAAATCAGTTTGCAATGACTATGTATTATTATTCATTTCTATCTGCATTGTTCAATCTTGGTTTCTCTGAATTTTCACATTTCAAATTTATTTATAAGTTAATGTCTATTCTTCTGGATCTTATTTCTCAAGAGATTGTTACGTTAAATCTAATTTAATCCACAATTATTTTTACTTTCTTGAACAAATAACAATTTCTGTACTGGCTGGCAATGAGTTAATAGAAAAACTATCGGTTTTGAATACGCATAACTAAAAAAAGATTAAAACAATTTTGTAGTAACTTTATTCAAAATAAACTGTAAGGCTTTCACAGACTAACCAAGTTGAGCAGCGATATCTTTGACAAGTTTAGCCTCTTGCTCTTCCGAATTATCAGCATCGTGTATCAATTTCGAAAATTCAACCCTCAAATGTTTATTTTCGACTTCAAGGGTACTAATTTTTGTCTGCATCATTTCAAGGCTGATGCCACGAAGTCCGGTGGGCGTACTGGTTTCAGAGCTTGTTTCTTCAGTATCATTGGTGAGGATTTGAATTAATTCCGTTTTCTTCGCGAGTTCGTGTGTCAGTTGGGTGATTGTTTCATTAGCTTCCTTTAGATCGGACTCTAAACTGGTAACTGTGGCTTCAAGTTTTTGATTGTGCGATAACAGTTCCTTGCCGATACGTGCGGTCAGTTCCAAATCTTTTTCCTTCTGAATTTGGAAAAATTCATTTTTAAATGAATTAAAAGTTAATGAAAATGGCTATTTCTATGGTATTTAACACATTATCTACCAGGAAGAATGGTAAAATTTTGGACACAGACAAGATTTTTGATATGCAATATGGAAAAATCACTGTTAGGTTAAATTGACGTATAACAATATAGAAAATCCTCTTGTAAGGTGTAAACTCTTTCTATTAAATAAGAAGTAAGTAAAGTGTTGAAAATCTTTTTGATGTTACACTTCAACAGTTGAAATTATTTTACATTTAATGAAGTTGAAAATGTTGTATACGCAATATTTACCTCCTCCAGAAGCCTTGTAACTGCTTCTATATCATTATAAGTCTTGGTCATTTGGCTCACCCGGTTGCTACAGAGAACTGAAATCCAAAACAAGTAATCTTCATAATAGTCTGTAATAAGAATACCATTTTACAATAAACAAATAAAAACAGTATTATATAAAACAAGAGACAAGATCATATTTTGCAACAGAAAATAAATAATTCAGTAACAAAACGAGATTATAAAAGAAAGAATATTGCATAAATGTTTCATAAATGGTTATGGTATCACCATAGTATTTGGAACTACATAGTATTTGTTTAAATCATACATGGTGCAATTACTACATTATACATACAATTCTTCGCATCAATAAATAAGTTATGTTTTGATATTTATGTTAAATGTTACCAGTCCATTATTAATCTATTTCAATATAAACCAAATGTGCCTGTCTGTTTCTGCATTACGAGAATTCAACGAGTAGTCAAATGTGCCCATAAATCAAATTCGACTCGCGATGGTCCATTCGTTTAGGGTCACATTTAACCCCTTTGTCCGGCTGTGACATTTCTTTTGGAAATTAAGTTTGTGGAGGACATTGAAAAAATGACTGTACTTTCAATTATAGTTGTTTGTGTAGCAAAAATAAATATATCATGTATAAAATAAAAATATATGTAATTAATGCTGATCTGGAATTTTTCAACATTTAATATTTGCCCTACAATAAATTCAAGTTACATACTAATAATGTATTGTAACTCTTACAATTAGACTTAATAATTTCTGATATATTTACACCCCAACTTTAAGGGCTATATCTACCACTGCAACATAAACACTATCGATACAAAGAAGTAAGTGTTAAACAATTGTTATAAGAACAACATCCTATAAATGTTTCACTAAAGATGGCTCTTGTCAATCGAGCAGTCAACTATTTTAATTTTAGCCGCGTGTACATACAGTATGGCTTACAAATAAAAACCACAATAGAGATGTTACCCTCTGAAACTAAAATCACTGCAAGAATTTGCAGAACATGTACATAAGTTATACATAAGTTTCAATAATTGTTTCAATATCTAAGATCGCATTGGAGAAAGATATACTTTGTTTGTAGATTAAACTTTGATCAAAGTAAAAATATTGACAGAATCAATTTGATAAATGTAATGTGTAACACTCCACTGAATCTGTATATCAAACATACTCAAAACTCAAAAGAATTGAGATCATACTTTTTATTCTAAACGTTAAAGAATTAACGTTTATTATTATACATAATATACATTATGTTTATCTTATTTATATATCATATATGTAAACATAATAATATTTAATATATTATTATATCCATAATAACAAACACCATGTATATTCATTCTCCAGTGTTTAATAAGTTACAGACCATTATTGACAATCATTACTAAGCCTCATCAATTGAATAGGACTTTCCTTACAATTCATAGCTTTTTTATTTTGATAAATTACTGTACAGGAACTTTAATGCTTTACTCGCACGATTATAGATTACGGAGAGGTTTTTTACTAAACGAAAGGGAATATTACACACAAAAAGTTTTATTAAAAATAGATTTTCAAGATTTTGTTGTGCAATAAGGCAGCTGAATAACGAAGAATTTAATCGAATAGAGCCTGAGTCAGGCGAGCGTCTTTAACTTTACGTTTCTACGGGCGAATAAATAGCCGTACACTAATTTTACGTTGCATACCTAACCCAGACCTAGTCCAGTCTCTCTATATTAGGACTACAGAAAACTCGAATGTTTCGAGTTGCTCGCGAGCCGAGTCGAACTGAGATCCAGTTTTCGATCCGAGTCGAGTAGCTCGGACAGAAGCGAACGGCTCGAAAGGACCGAGTAGCTCGGGCAGAAGCGAGTTGCTCGAAAGAACCGAGTAAAGGTCGATTCAGACTATACGATACTACGGACCGTCACGTTTTGGTAACGTGAATCCGCCTCCTCCGAGGCGCTCGCTTCGGTCCGAGTTACTCGGTTCTTTCGAGCTACTCGCTTCTCTCCGAGCTACTCGGTTTGGTCCGAGCTACTCGACTCGGACCGGCCATTCGAGCCGAGTTTTACTCGGCTCGCCTTTTCGGAGTACTCGAACAGCTCTGCTCTATATTGGGTCGAGAAACAAGTTCGTAGCATTTTAGTTCAACTTGATATCGTTCTAACTAGATTACTTGATTTTGGTGTGCCATTATATACAATCGAGAGCTCTGTCCTTCTTTTTATAGCTTGAGTTTTAACATTTTTCTTACTGGAGCTAATGGTAATCACTTTTCAGGTTCAAGAAAACCGCTGCTAAACACCTGCCAACGTTGCGAAGGTTACTCAATCAATTTGTGACGTTTACGGTGTTGACTTTATTGACGATTTAATTATTAGAAAATGACAATAAATATTAAATGATAAGACCATGTATATTCATACATTGTGTTGTCTTTTAAGGTACCTGTGCTCATATCATGCTTCACTGATTTCATCAATCAGTTAGTTCATGATGCATTTCATTGGCTATCAATTGACGTTGTTATGATTGCTCGATGAAATAATAAAGAAAACTGGGAGGAGCATGGCCCAGATAGGAATTAAATTATAGATGTGACCTTACTAATATTGTCAGATTTAATGTTGCTTTAAAATAAAAATTACTCGCTTATTGACACATGATCGCATACTTTATAATAAACAAAGAATATGTCCATGAAAATGTCTTGAAACAGGGATAAATCGTTGAGCTATCTGATAATCAAACAGATTAATTTGATTGCTTATGTGAGATAAATAAATTGCTTTGTTGAATTGCAATAATTGAATCTTCAACAGTATTATCAATTGATACCTAACGGAGCAAACAGAAATTCAATTTTTATTATAAACGCCTAGTTTTAATAAACTTCGTACCTAAATACAGTGATACACAATTACACAGGGTGTCCCACGCAACTGGAACAGGCTGTACCTCCTAAACGGTTGGGAGTAGAAAAAAAATATTATAGGTGAAAGTTATGTTAAGTGGTTTAAGATGGTGGATAACATGCAACTAATTTTATGTACTTTTGTGCATCAGAAAAATGCAGTCGCGCTTTTTTTTAAAATGGAAATATATTAACTTATATTAACTTTTAACATTTTCAGCCGCTAGCTTAATATTAAGCTAGCAGCGTCACGATTTTTTCGAAAACGGCACAAGGTACAAAATTATTGTTGGTGGTACAAATTAGTACAAAATAAGTACTACATATTCCACTAAGTCCGATATGATTCTGCTGATTTAGTCCTGCCAGCTTAAGAGAGGTTTCCTTATGTCCCTATGAGTAATTTTGCATATTTCTTGCTGAATGCGTTGATGGAGCTCCTCAAGATTAGTAAAGAGGTGGGAATACACTCTATCTTTCACAAACCCCCATAAAAAGAAGTCGAGGGGTGTGATATCCAGTGATTGCGGTGAGATCTTTAAAAAATAGAGTGTATTCGCACCCCTTCACTAATCTTGAGGAGCTTCAACAACGCATTCAGCAAAAACTATGCAAAATTACGTAAGGGGACATAAGGAATGTATTGCGCAATGGCAAGAAGAGGATGGAAAAGTGCTTGGACTGCAATGGAGGAACGTTCGAACACTTGTTGTAACGTAGGTATTGGCCGAGGGACAGAAATAGTTCGGATAATTTTCACCATTAATAACTTCTTAACGAACAAGTTTAAGTATGTTAGTACTTTTTTGCAGAGCACTAAAAATTGCATCGACCTATGTCATCAAAAATATAGGTCTCCATTAAAAAAAAAAAGTGTGATTGCATTTTTCCAATGCACAAAAATGCATAAAATTAGTTGCATGTTATTCACCATCCGAAACCGTTTAACTGTCACCTGTAACATTTTTTTTCTACTCTCAACCGTTTAGAAGGTACAGCCTGTTCCAGTTGCGTGGGACACACTGTATATGCTGTGCATCTGTACATTCCACTAGCTATGTAAACTTGGCACGCGACTTTTCCAAAATTAATTTTTTTTTTTTACAAAAAACGATAGTATTTCGTTTGTACCTGATTGTACCTCCAATAGTTTTGTTGGTACCTCGACCAATTAATAATTAAACAAAATTTTTTAAATGGTCAGCACCCGACATCGAGATTTTTGAAATCGGTTTTTCCCGATTCTTTAGAATCGTTTGTACCCGTTTGTACCGCTTTTCGTTTCGTTTGTACCTCAATAGTTTAAATTTTACAAGCAATTGTTGATCCGCGTAAGAGTGAAGTTCGTTAATTTTCAAAACATTTAAAATTTGTTTTTTCACGATACTTTAGAATCGTTTGTACCCGCCGGAAACGTCTTTCTTTTCGTTTGTACCTTAATAGTTTAAATTTTATAGCAATTGATGTTCCGCGTAAGAGTGAAGTTCGTTAATTTTCAACTACTAAGGTACAAACGAAAAGAAAGACGTTTCCGGCGGGTACAAACGATTCTAAAGTATCGTGAAAAAACAAATTTTAAATGTTTTGAAAATTAACGAATTTCACTCTTACGCGGATCAACAATTGCTTGTAAAATTTAAACTATTGAGGTACAAACGAAACGAAAAGCGGTACAAACGGGTACAAACGATTCTAAAGAATCGGGAAAAACCGATTTCAAAAATCTCGATGTCGGGTGCTGACCATTTAAAAAATTTTGTTTAATTATTAATTGGTCGAGGTACCAACAAAACTATTGGAGGTACAATCAGGTACAAACGAAATACTATCGTTTTTTGTAAAAAAAAATTAATTTTTGAAAAGTCGGGTGCCAAGTTCACATATCTCATCCCACTGCATATAATAAATATCTTATGAGGGGTAAAGCTATCGAAAAAATATTTGTATAAAAGTTATGCAGTTATACAGTGTATTTGTTTTAAGTGAGTAAAGCAGGATATCTCGGAAGTTGTTATAGTTATTAAAAATCTGTTCGTATAAAAGTTGTTGGGTATGACGGGGTGCACCATGTAGTAATAATTGTACTCTTGTAGGTGGAGTAATAGAAGAGTTCTGGAGGTCAATCTAATTTTTTTTAATGGAATGCTATATTTTTTATACAAGAATATGTACAGTATTGAAATTTAAATAAAAAAATATTGACCTTTATTAGCCCAAAACCTAATAGGTAACGAGTAATTTTACCTTATTACTTGATAATTTTCCTAACTTAACACTTTATCCACCGGTAGTCAATTAATCAGCTTATAGTCCCCAACGGTCACCAACCGGTTAATGTTGAATCGGTTGCTATGGTAACTAGCAAGTATTTGTTACTTTCTGTAACAAGTTTCTGTGCCAAGGAAGATCTGCAGTGTTAATATCAAGTCTGTCGCCAGTCAAACAACGGGGAAACAACTGGTCCAAATCAGAGGAAATTTTAAAAGCGGTTGAGAAATAATTTTTAAAAAAATTACAAATGTGTATTTCCAATGATGGTGAGCATATAGAAGGATAAAAAATTATTGAACTAGTAAGTGAAACTTTAATTGATACTTAATAGCTTTAGCAAAAATATTTAATTTCTGTTTATAATATTATAATTGCAGTAACTTGATACGGACACAACCGACGCTGCTCACCAGCGGTTGCTAGTTTTCAGCTGTTAGCCGATGAAGAACGTAAACATTACTGTAATGCGGAAATCTGTGATAAGGTTGAATCTCCATCTTGATATTACGTTAAGAAAATTTTCAAGCAATCAAGTGAAATTACTTGGTACCTATTAGGTTTAGAGCTAATAAAAGTCAATACTTTTTTATTTAGAATTCGATACTCTACCATATTCTTGTATAAAAAAATATAGCATTCCATCTAAAAAAATTAGATTGACCTGCAGATCTCTTCTATTACTTTACCCACAAGAAAACAATTATTACTACATGATGCAGCCCGCCATACCAAACCACTTTTGTACGAATAGATTTTTAATAACTACAACAACTTCCGAGATATCCTGCTGTACTCGCTTAAAACAAACACCCTGTATAAGGGGCAAATTATATGGAATGAATAATTTTGTTGAAAATAAAGTGGTGAAGAGGATTTAAATAAGAAATTATTTTTTTAAATGGAGCCTTATACAAATAATTTATTCCATATAATTTACACCTTTGTACCAAATAACTTTTGCAAAAACATTTTTTTGATAGTATCATAAATATACAGGTTGTCCCAAAAATGTTGGAAGTCCTTGAAAGGTGTGGTCTGGGGGGTGATATGAAATTTCAAGAGAAATTAAGAAGAGAAAATAAAAAAAGTGGTCTACTATTTGCAACACATAATTTATTGTATTAGAACACTTATTCTTATTGCACAATGTTTCTTATTTGCACAAAATGAACATTTACTGAAATTTGTATTATGAACTGCACACTCAAACACCAAATTTATATATTTCTTTCCACAACGACAAGGTAGATATTTCGTCACTTGTAACCATATACTTCCCAATACAATATCACTTCACGTAGCCTTTAAAATAAGTATTCAATTTGCGGCGTCCAAATGTCACAAATACAAACTGACAGGTTATACAGGTTAGAAATGAACGAGCGGCGTGAGCGGCAGCCATATTACAATTCCGGTCGACGAGCCCTGCCGACTGATTCCGAGAGTCGACGAATCGACGAACAGCCTTAGCTCCTTTTGGCTAACGAGGCAAGGTCGCGATTCGGACGAGGGCTTTTTGAACGAGACCCGGCTCATATGATGAGGTCTGACGGGCATAAAAAAAGTACAAAACACATATTTATAAAAAATGGGGTATTTTTATAAAAAATGGCTTCAAACATTTACAGGTCACTAGATATACGAAAATATTCAAGTTCTCAACAGAAGCTATTGCAGCTGCGAGCGTTACCCCGCAGGTTCATGTTCTAGAGTTTGTGGATTCGAGACTCGCCAATGGAAATTTTTTTTTTCTCCAATTGCATTTCTATTTCTTATTCCTTTTCTTACTGCTATATAAATAATATATAAGAATTATAAAGTATAGGATGTGAACTACAATTTTTAATAACACGTATTTTATTAATTATCTTATTTTTTATTAATAACAAATGTGGCTAAAGCGTTTATTAAAATAAAATTCGTTTTTTAATAATTATATATTTGGCTACATTTTAGCCACATTTTTTATTAATAAAAAATAATTTAATTAATAAAATACGTGTTATTAAAAATTGTAGTTTACATCCTATATTTTATAATTCTTATATATTATTTATATAGCAGTAAGTAAGAAAAGGAATAAGAAATAGAAATGCAGTTGAAGAAAAAAAAATTCTCCATTGCCGAGTCTCAAACCCACGAGCTCTAGAACATGAATCTGCAGCGTAACGCTCGCAGCTACAACAGCTTCTGTTGAGAACTTGAATGTTTTCGTATATTTAGTGACCTGTAAATGTTTAAAGCCATTCTTTATAAAAATGGCTGACCAGATACTCCTAAGGTTTTGTACTTTTTTTTGTGCCCATCAGTCCCCATCATTTGAGTCCGGTCTCGTTCATAAAGCGCTCGCCCGGATCGCGACCTTCCCTTGTAAGTGTTGACGAAAAGAAGAAAAATCAGAATCAGAAGAAAAATCTACAATTTCTGACAGATTGATGACATGATATTACGATATCTCAGTTGTACATGGACCGATTTTATTGATTTTGGTTTTATTCGAAAGCTTATATCCGATTTACATTAGAAAAATGCCTTTGGATTTAGAAAATACAGCAGGCATGACGATATATTAATGACAGAAGTTTCGGGTTAGGTTGGAATCGCAGTTTTACGAGTAAAAGATACGTATTAGCACTAGCGCCAGTATATACGGTGGCGCATAATTTTTCATGTACTTGGCGTCGAGACGCTACCGCGTCTAGATATTAACAGAAAACCCTGACCAATCAGAGCGCGAGTATGCCGGTGGAGCGCCCGCGGTAGCGTAGGCTACGCGCTAGGCAGTCGGGTTCTGATTGGTCAGGGTTTTCTGTTAATATCTCCTTAACGAATCCTCAGACAACATTTTCGCTAAGGAAAAAGTTGTTTCAAATCACCCCTCGAACCACACCTTTCAAGAACTTCCAACATTTTTAGGACACCCTGTATATAATCATTCCCCTTTAAACGACCCGGCTACTATCAAAACATAACATTACACCAAAACCAAACAATTCAATTAGGATAATATCGAAGCTGAAACATTAATTTCTTTCTCGAGACGCTACGCATACGAAGATGATAATCGATTGCTAAATATGTTATGCATTAGCACGGGAAAACCCAATGCGCAATAAATGCTCGTCTAATTGTGGTCTAACTCGGCGGATCTAATAAATTCGACTGGTGTGTCGCACGACTATACGTTAACAACACGAAAACGTGAAAGAAGCTGAAGCAATAGTATAAAAGCTAGTAACGTTGCGAAAAAGTGAACGTTAGGTTGACTAGTTTTTTGATATTTTCTTCCTGATCGAAGATAGGTAACTCGCCTATTCTCTCCGGAACATGAATTGGTCTGGCTCCTAATTAAATTACCGAATTTTTTGTCTGCTAAATTTATATTATATTCTTTGATTACTCCACTATATCATATTAAAATTTCAGCTAATCTAAAATGGTTTGAAAATGATTCATTTTTAATTACTAAAATTGTATCTTGTCTAGCAACTATACATTTTTATTGCTAAAACAAAAACCATAGAAAATTATGAAAAAAAATTTCGTCTTAAAATTATTGCAAAATGTGCAATTTTTACCTGTACATAAGGAATGCGTGCAGGTAAACACAATCTATTATTACTAAATAAGGAAGGAAATATCAAAAAACCAATCGACGTAAAATTCTTTTTCGAATAGGTTGCTAGCTTTTGTAGTACGATAAATAAAATCGAAACGTAAAGAAGCTTAAACATTTCCAGTTGGTCCTGACAATTAGATAATTACTGACAGGAGAGACACGTGCAAGGTGGCTCCGTGGGGGAAGTAGCCAGCAGGAAAATCGGCGTGTGTAACCGTCTATAGTCACTGCATCCCCAGCAGGGCGGAGGTATCCTTGAGGAGCTGGGACAATTTGTTTCCAGAAAACCCACGTTTTCCGGTGAATCTTCGTTCGAGGGTCGGATGTCTTCATCGTACTCGTAAGGATCATCCTCCTGGAGGTCCAGTTGCTCCTGGGCGGAAGATTCTTCCGGTTCCAGGAGCGTATTATTCGAGGTGTCTTTTTCTTCCTCCGCCAGTATCGGCCGGGAACCCAGGGAGGAACGGGAACAACGGCTGATTCGTTAACTGTATTTATAAATTACTGCTACTTATCTCCAAGGCCTTCATTTTCTAATTGTTCCCTAATACATTTTATATATTACTCTTACTGTATATATACACAGTTTCATTTCTGCTGTTAGCTTAAAGGCTCGCAAACTCGCAGTGTCCTTCTGTAATTATTATATTGTATAAATTATAAATGCGTGGGTTAAATAATGGTCGAATAATAAAGTAATGCCTTTGATATTATAACTTACAAGCAAAGACATTACGCTACCGTCAAGCCACAATCACACTTACAAGCAAGCTTTACAAAATCATTATTTGGGGGGGGGGGGGGGACTCGAGTCTAGAACGTTCAAAATATCAATTTCTTTTGCATTTTCTCAAACAGTAGATCTTTAAAAATATATCTGCCAAAGGATATTGCTAAATTTGGAAAATTAACGAAATTAAGGACGTCTAGAGAGAATGGTGTCCGCAACGACGTTATCATCTTCAATTCATTTGGATACTGCATTTTAAATTTCTTTGCAGTTTTTACTATAATTTCTTCGTTAGTAATGTAAAAAAATGTGCAAAAGTGACATTCATTTTCAACAAGAATGTAAGCGAGAATTGGGTTTATAATCATAATTATCACCTATTACGAGCCGGAGGGGGCGGCTGCGTAGCCGGGGCTTTATAGTAGAATATAGTTTTTTGTTAGTAGCTTGGCCAGAGTTGTTAGGTAACATTAGGTGCCTTGAGGATACAGACGCAGAGACGAACCTACGTATGGCTAACATACGGAACCTCAAGCGAGTGATATGCGGACGAACCTATGAATGGCTAACGTAGGGACCCGCACGAAAAATTAGTAAGTATTAGTTTCAATATACTTCGAGCGGTGAAGGTAGACCTTATAAGGGAAAGCTTACGAATTGATACACTCTGCTTTTAATAAAACTTTGCGTAAATATTTATTAGACCTATCTAAGAAGACAGGTATAATTCGTTCGTGTCCGTTTTTCACTTTGAGGAACAAACTACCCCTTCTTTCCGACCCGCCCCGTTTACTTATGCGCTTATAACTCGAAAATGGTAAGCGACGTCGAAAAAATGTTCGAATAAATATTGCACTGTTTTTAGAGGCTTATAAACCAGTGCCAAAGAATTTTCAAACTAGATGTCGTAGTTGCTCGTTCGCTTCGCGAGCTCGCGAGTAGGGTTGTTCTTACTCGCTTAATTCAAATAGTTATTCATGTTTATTTTGTGTGCGACCCTTAACGGGTCACACAAGAAACTTCCCGATTTCCGATTACAGCGCAAATAAAAGAAATATTTGAAATTAGTGTTTTGAAAATGTCTCATAGCCAGCTTTCACAGTGCATGATAAAAAATGAGGTATTCCATTAAAAAAATCACATTGACCTTGACGTGACTTTGATCGGTCCTTTGAAGGTCAAATGGACACGATCGTTCAATAGAATTTTTGAAACCCTAAAACATTTCTCTAAACCATTTTTCTCACAAATGTTCCATTTTGGAAATATTTGACTGTTTCATACTTTTGGAGCACCCTTTATGTATATGTATATGTGTTATACATATGCATACAAATGTAATAATAGTAATATATGTATATATATTATTTATTTCCGTTTAGTTATTCACTCATAAATTTATATTCTCCCATTTAGATTGCGTTATTGAGTTAAGTTTTCTTAAAAAAACTAAAAAACTACTAGACTGGAGATTGATACATATCGATTGCATCATCGATCATTTTGATCTCGCTATTAGTTTTTAAGAAAACGTTAACGAAAAATTTCTGTATATACATACATACATACGCACATACACATACACGCGCACGCGCGCGTAAACAATTTGTTAAAAATAGGCTAAAATTACTCCAATGACCTTGAAACATGGAGATCTGCTAAAAAATTGATTTATTTCTAGATTAATAAAAGCGTTTTTTATTCTGACTCCAACTGTGTGTATTAGTTTATAATTATCATAATGACAAATGATGTAATATTGTAAAATTGTCGTTCTAATAGTTGATTTTGCAACGGAAAATGTAACGTTTGTGATGAAATTCGTTAGTATCAATACTCTGGTAGATATTTACATATAATATATGAATATACTATACGTATTTACTGTGACGTGGCAGATTGCCGCGCCACCAGGGTAACCCAGGGTTAGGACTAATTTGCGTATTTAAATGGCAATAGCGTTGGGCTAACGACGACAACATCCAGCGATGCGGTTTAGAGGCTAGCGATCCCGTTCAACCCGGCACCGACTGCACGGACTGGCCAGATGAAGCTCAAATGGACAGGGGCTGGAGGATCTTGGTAACAGCCCCTGGACTCCGCTACAACCTTCAGGGGGCAGGAGGCCGTTTAGGATAGCGAAGTCAGCCGGGTTCTCGAGTGCACCGAGACCCGGCCCGCTCCAGAGTCTTCGAGGGATGCCAGCACCGACACGCCACCAAAGTCGCCGAGGGACGAGACTGGACGACTGCCGATGACGAGCGCGCCGATAACGCGATTTGAATTTGGCCGCCATAGAGTGCCGCGTGCCGCCGACCATTGAGGTGAGGCTGGGGGAAAGCGGGTGATCCAACGCGTGCGACGAGCTCGCGTATCTCGTCCTATTTCGTCAGCGACGGACGTGCGGAACGGTACGGTAAGCGCTTCCTCCTTTACCTCACGCTCGTGGATAGGATATCGTAAATTGGTCGGGTTTTCTGGTGGCTGCCGAGCACCCCGTCGGGCGAAATAACGTAATCAGTTTCAATCGCGTTTTCGTAGGTTATCTAGACGGAATAACGAACATCTAGTCGCGAATCCATTGTAACGCGCACGTGTTTAGATCGCTGCCGGTTAACGTTCTAGTCGAAGAGGTCGAGCCCACCGCGACCGCGTCAAGACTGTCCGAATATCGTTTCTAAAGTCCCTTTTGTGCGAATCGCGACGGAATTTGGGCTAACGTGAACGAAATCAGCACGTGTTATCGAAACGTAGTTCTCGTGTCGGTTACCGGTCGTCCCGGTGACCTTTGACGCTACGACAGCTCGGCAGTGTACACCGAATTTTGTAACATCTTTCGCGTACAATACATTCTATATTATTTTAAACGAGTGCTGTGTTAATCCGCCCCGTCTTGCCGTGAAGACGGCTTTCTCAGACTTCCTTTCCTCGGCGACGATCCACTCCCTTCTCCGCGATCCGGATCGCTAGCCGTGGTAATTTTCGCGAAGTTCGGCTTCTCACGCCGATATCTCCTGATACCTGGCGCTCGGGTTTTCCCGTAAAGGCGTGAGGAGTCGGAAAGCTCTCATTTTGCACACTTTCCGACGCGGATCGCGGACCGTGTCGGGAAATCACGTTGCATTACATATACACACACGCACAAGCGCAAGCATACATGACTATATTGATAATTACGATTTTTTACTTTGAACACTTATTGTATTTTTCTCTATTTTCGTTATTAATAAGAGTATTTTAAACAAAACTTGTACATCTCGATAAGATATGAAATTGTTGTTAAATATATTTTTCGAGGAAAGAATATTTTCTGGGGAAACTCGCGAATTCGTTTACTCTGATTGTGATGAATCTTTGTAGAATTGTTTGTGGGACCATTATAGGAACTACGTCGTTTTCAGTTTTTGCCGGATTTGCGTTGTAAGGGAGAAAGCACCCCTTTCGTCCGAACTGCTCCTTTTACTTGTGCACTTACAGTGCCGGACAAAATGATAGGACGTTTGATGAATTTGTATATTTTATATAACAATAGGATATCTGATTATACGTTTGATGAATTTGTATATTTTATATAACAATAGGATATCGGATTACTCACCCTATATATTAGATATGTCCTTCAAAGTATCCACATAGAATTGCATGTTTATATCTAGTATACGAAAGAAAGTAGAGGAAGAAGTGTAAACATGGGCGGACTTTGTTCGGTCAAAATGATAGGACGCATGTAGTATTTTTAGTTAATATGTCCTCTGGCAGTAATGTATCAGCAATGACTAGAAGAAGACGAGTAAATCTTTCATTTATCTATAACATTTGTGACATTAAAATTAAAATGGGTCGAGGAAAACAATTAGACAAAAGTGAAATCGACCGAATTTTGTTATTGCGGTCACAAAATCAAACAATCACAAAAATTGCGAAATTATTAGATAGAAGCCGTAACGTTGTGTATAACTTCTTAAAAAATCCGAAAATGTATGGAAAAAGGAAAAGTATCGGCAGACCTCGTGCTACAACAGAACACGACAGACGGGCAATATTACGCGTAGCTTCTAATTTCAAGGGAACTACAAGGAAAATCGCTGAAGAAGCAGGTGTTTCAGCTAACGTAAGAACTGTGCGACGTATTTTCTAAAGCAGTAAACAAATTAAGCGAAGAAAACTGAAAAGAAAACCTCCTCTAAGTGAACAACATAAGAAAGCTCGATTACAGTTTGCTCGCGAACATATATGGTGGAAAAAGAAGTGAAGACGTGTGATATTTACTGATGAAAAGAAATTTAATTTGGACGGACCTAATGGCTGGAATTATTATTTCCACGATTTAAGGAAAGAAGAACAGTATTAAAGCCGTCGACAAATGGGTGGCGGAAGTGTCATGGTGTGGATCGGTATTGGATATCGGGGAAAAACTGATATAAATTTTTTACCAGGACGTGTAAATAGCAAAAAATACATTGAATTAATAGACTATCAATTAAATAAGCACGCAACTCATATTGCAGCCAATAAGTTTATTTTTTAACAGGATAACGCTGCAATACATACCGCAAGATCTGTTAAAACTTATTTTAGTTCTAAAAATGTGACATGTCTCGAGTGGCCGGCCCGGTCACCCGACCTGAATATTATTGAAAATATATGGCAGAACTTTCTAGAAACGTTTATGCAAATAGAAAACAATACAAAGATGTAATGGAGTTAAAACAAATTGTTGTTATTGTTATTGTTACAAATTGGAGTCTTTTAAGACAAAAACATATTAAAAAATTGTTTAAATCAATTCCTAATCGCTTAGTAGATGTTATACAGCGTAAAGGTGGTTTTACTAAATATTAATTTGGAATTGATTAAAATATTTCTGTTCAAACAATTATATTTTTTAATGAAGTCCTATCATT